CATGGGTGACCTTCGGCCCACCTGCAGGGCGTACACGCGTGGAGGGGAGACAAGGCGGCGCCAGCCCTCCGCAGACCGGGCTGCCCAGGAGGCGCCTCTGAGCGAGCCCTCGGGGTCAGTCCCTCACTCTTGTTGGCAGCACAGGAAAGGGTTCCCGGTAGCTGGACTTCGCCTGGTTCCAGCTAATCATGTTGGATCACCGAGTCACCGCGCTGAGGCAGAGCGGGTATTCATCATTCCAGGAAGGGACAGGACGGCTCGTGGAATGGTGCATGCTGAACACACCCCTGAGCCAGGCGTGGGGGCCAGACTGTCGGGGGACATGGTCACATGCATGGACATGTGTCAACGCACCAGGTCACATTCACGTGTATGCCCGTGTGTACCCACATGCACGAACCCACAAAGGCACACGTCAATGCAGGTGTATGTGAGCTCATGCATGGACACAAACGGTGATGTGTGAGCCGTGTGTGCTGTACACCCCATGCTCATGAGCCCACACGCGTGACACTGTTCCTTGTCTATGCACAATATGCATCAGCACACGGTGCGCACGCATCAGCACACGGTGCACATGCATCAGCACATGGTGCACACACATCAGCACACAGCGCACACACGCACCAGCACACGGTGCACACTCACAGCTTGGGCCATAGCATGACTGCCCCACAGTCACATGCATCACGTGTTCACATGACACCCACTGCGTGTGCACGATCAGCACACGTGTGCACATGTCGACACACATGTGCAAGGGCACATTCATGCTCATGAAGCAGAAGGAAGCAAAAATAAACTGGATCAGAAAAACTAAAAATAACCATGCTCTTCAGCTGTCACCAGGGAGTGGGTCGAGCGGGAGGGGCAGGAAGTCCAGACAGGAAAGAGGAAGACAAACAAAGCCATTGGAGCACACCTGTGACCCTGACTGCCCCCCAGGGGCGCACCCACCCGCAGCAGGGTGGATGCTCCTCTGCTGGATGAGGCCACACGAGGCCTGAAGGAAAAGAACCTGAGTGGTGGGTGCGGGACACGGAACCAGCCTCCAAGAACCTGCCCGGGGCTGGCAGAGGCCAGAGTGCAGGCCCGGGGAGCAGGACAGCAGGGCCTGGGCATCCCAGGGATGGCTCATCCCCAGGGCCTGTCACGCCACCCCAGAGGGAAGCCACGGGACACACTGAGCCTGAGCCGGCAGTTTGGGGGCCCAGTAGCCACGCAGGAAAAGCAAAAGGGAAGGCGGCCCAGGGAGCCAGGAGGGGCAGAACCTGCCTTGCCTCCAGGCAGCACGGGCCCCTCAGAACATGGAGGAGGGGGGCGGGCTCGGGTCACCCTGGCTCCCACTGCAGCTGTGACCTGGGCCCTGGGCCCTGAGTGTGGGAGGAAGGGGCCTGGGCCCTGCAGAAACCGGCTCTTCCCGGGAGCCTGGAGGGGCGCCAGGTGCACGCCAGCACTCGGGCTGCCCCCTTCAGCCCCCATCTTCTTTGCAGGGGGATGCAGAGGGGTTTGCCAAAGAAAAAGCAGCTCTGGCCGTGCTCCTGAAGGTTCCCGAAGGCTCGGGATGGCTCTCCCTGGGAGGGGGGTTGGGGGGGAGCAGAGCTGAGGGGAGAGCCCAGGAGAGGCAGACTACAAAGTGCTTTCCTCCATTCAAGCCCCACCCCCGAACCCAAGCAATGCCCTGGGTCGGGGGACACAGTACAGCCCCAGCCCCAGCAATGTCCATGCTCCTAAGGAGGGAACCCACAAATAAACTTATCACCTAATGAGGGGAGGCCTTCACCTCCACACTTGGGGGACGGACGGAGCAAAGGGCTATTTCTGATGATGAACCTCCGGGGAAGATTCCCCATCCCACGCTCCTGCATCTCCCCTCCCGCCTACCCCGGGCCAGGGAGAAGAGAGGCAGGCTCGGCGCACCTACAGATGTCTGCCTCAGCACACAGTGCAGGACCGCATCCTCCGGCTTTACCCAGGACGGCAGGAGGAGAGAGAAGGTCCCCGTCACCCCCGGCCCCTCCGGCCCCAGCAGTCCTTGCTTTGCGCAGCTCCTCCAGGTGCTCTCCCCCCGCCACACACTGTGCTTTCACTTGCGCTCAGAGAAACCCACTGAAAACACAGGGAACTGTTTTGTGGAAGTTTTTGGTTTGGTTTCTTTTTTTTAAACCATAAAGAGTACTGGAGCTTTTTCCCAGTAAGCAGTGTGTTTTTGCGACCTAGTCATGCTAAAACATAGTATCGGGTTGCTTCTTGCTTTTGTCTAGAAACCCGCTGGGTGAAGAGTTTCTGCTTCATTTCCTTTGCCCCTACTTGAAGTGGAAAGTCAGATCTGGCCTCCAGGCCTGGCCCTCCACAGCCACAGGTGTGTGAACCTGGCCCATCACTCGCCTTCGCTCTGCCTCAGTTTCCTGATCTGCAGGCAGGAAAACACCACGGCCTCGGCCCATTTCACAAGATGTCGTCAGATTCGAAGGAGAACCTCGGTCCACCCAAGGCGTTTCCACACACGTCCTAATCTAGGCGGCATGCAAACGAGATCTGACCCCGACTCGGCTCAGAAGCCCCCGCTCCAGGTGAGGTAGCTGGCCCAAGGACCCCAGCTGGCAAAGGGCTGGGAAACTGACACAGTTTCAAAATGCATCATATCAGCAACCTGGGAGATGTAAATCAGTACCATCTGATTAACCCCCCAAAAATAATAATAAGGAGCTGGTCCTCTCTGGGGACTACAAGGGTGTGGGGGCACTCTCATGCTCTGCGGGGCACCGTGCCTGACACCCATCACAGCCGAGGTGGGCCCCTTCTAGAAACGCCCCGTGGAGTTCTTGCTACAGACATGTCAGCAGAGCCACGCCATGTGGAGCAAATTGCCAGTCGATACAGAAACAGGCAGATAATTAAGTGTGTTGCCATTCAAGGGAATGTATGCAGGGCGGGGAGGTGACAGGGACAGGGACAGGTCCTGACAGGGAAGGCTTTCCAGCCACGCCAGTGAACTGAAAAGCCAGCAACAAGCTGTTGGTGCCCAGCACAGTGCAGAGTCTATAAAAACCGTCCATTCGTGGGTATAAATACATGCCTGCGACCCCTGAAGTCTAGAAGGTGCACACCAAGGAAGGCAGGACCCTCTGAGGGGGGTCTCGCGGGGGGGGGGGCTGCTTTTTCCTTCCATTTGATAGTTTTTTTCTCCCAAGCAAGAATTCATGTCTTTCATACACGGACTTCTTTCTTTAACCAAAAAGCATCTAAAACATGGAAATGCCAGACAACGCTTCCTATTCAGGTCGCACATGGGCGCGAGCAGCCAAAGAAAACAGCCCCTCCCTCTCCCGGGTCCCCCAGCCAGTCCCCTGAACACAGGCTGCTTCTTCCCGGGACGGCGCTGGCTTGGCCGGGGCCCAGCCTGGGCTGTCCAAGAGGCGGTCGGTCATGGGCCGGGCCGGCCCACCGGCCTTCACGCCACTCGGCCCCAGACCAATCACTGCTGGGACGCTCATGTGGGATGCTGGGTGCCTCTCACTCAACTCTAAGCCCGGAAATCCCAGCACCAGGACAACGATGGTGCTTTCCTCTTTGGAAGCCAGACCTGAGGTAGGGCACGCACACACACACCCAGGTGGAGCCAACATCCTTAACCTGCTTGTGGCCATAGAAAGAAAAGCCCCCAACTTAAGCCCAAGGACCGCTGACAAGATTCTTCATGGGCTGTAAGTCCCACCCTCCCCACCTCACAGCCACAGGCTCACGCTCACCCCACCTGAGCGACTGTCTCCCTGGGTGCATACGCTACAGAAACCAGAGTCAGCGGGCAAGTTTAGGGGGGTTTTTGCAGAGATGAAGCTCTCAGCCTGCTCCCAAATGCACGACAGCGGGCGCCAGGGGGCCCCAACAGCAGCTGGCGGGCTCTGCAGGCTCCCCGCAGGGCCTTCCCGGCACCCCCAGGGGTAGACACACAGCGGAGCCGGTGCTGAGCGCCACCTGCAGGCAGGAGCTCCAGCATCAGATCACAGGACTTAACCGGACATGATTGGAAGGAGAGAAAGAGACGCGGTGTGGCCCAAATGGCTCAGACAACTGTCACCGGGGGCCCTGGGAAAAGCCAGTGCTACCCATCTTTTCAGCAGCGGATGCCAAGGAGGGTCAGAGGGTCTGAGCTGACTCATTTATCGCTCATCCATTCGTTCCCCCAAGCATCCTGTGCTGGGTGTGGGGCGCACGCAGGAAACACGGCCACATCCCCCTTCTTAGGATCACCCCAGGAGGGGGCTACGCCCGTGACAAGCCCTGCTCAGTGTCTGCACCGGCGAGCCTCGGTTTCCCCTCCGGGCACTGCGGGTGCTGGGCCTGGCTTCAGGGCTCTGGAAGGCTGCCACCCCGGAGGCGCCTGCAATGTCCCGGCCCACAGCCACGCAGGCTCATTCAAACGGGCGCCCCGACACCCAGGGCAGAGTCTACAGTCTGAAGGCCGGGGACTGCCTTGACTCGTCAGCTAGCTGAAAAAGCAACCTCGGCCACGTCCAGGGAGGGTCAGGGGAAGCCTCGGCTCCGGGGTTCCACTGCCTGGGGCTGCGCCTGCCGGGCCTGAACGTGGGGGGAAGCCGCAGGGAGGCCATGTGCGGGGAGGGCGCCACGCGGAGGGAGGCGCCTGGGCTCCAGCCTCCGAGAAGGGCTTCCCGGGGGGTCTGGTCAGCAGCGCGCCCAGCTGTGCCCCGCGCGCGGGGCCGGGGCCCGTGAGTCCCACACGGCGGAGGCGCCTCTCCGCGGCCGCAGGGGGAGGCCGGCCGGGGGGCCGCCGGGGCAGCTGCCCGGCTGCGGTGGGGAGAGAGGCGGCGGCGGGCTCGGGCGGGGCACCCACGGGGGGCACCCACGGGGGGCACCCACGGCGCCGCGGCCTCGGCCCGCACGGGAGTCCTCCCGGAGGCCCCGGCCGGCCCGGCTCCGCCCAGCCGCGCGGGGCGCCCCCGGCCCTCCTCGGCCCGCCCGGCCGGCCGCGCACCCACCTTGAGGACCTGCTGCGTGATGAGCGAGGGCACCAGGTAGACCATGAGCACGCCCAGCGCGACGAGCAGCAGCCCGGCCAGGAGCAGCACGGCGGCCGCCCGCGAGCGCCGGGCCATGGCTGCGGTCGCCCGGCCTGCGGGGCACGCGGGGCGCGGGGCGCGGGGCGCGGGCCGGCGGGGGCCCGGGGCGGCGGCAGGCGGAGGAGCGGCCCGGCCGGCGGCCCGCGGCTTTATGCGCCATCGCGGCTCCAGGCCCGCCCCCGCCCGCGGGGCAGCGGGACCGGGCGGCCCGCGCGGCGGCTCCAGGCCCCGCCCGCTTCCGCGCTCCCGGGACGGCCCCGCCGCGGCCGCGCCCCCCGCCCCGCCCCCTCGGCCCCCGCCCCCCGCCCCCGCCCGAGCGGCCCCTCCCGGGCCTCCCCCGCCCCCGCCCCCCACTTCCCCGGCCGCGGCCGCCGCATTGTTCACGTGCGCGGGATTTCCCGGCGCACAGGAACCCAGAGCCCCCGCCCCGCGGCTGGGACCCCGCCCTCCGCGACCCCAGACGCGGCCCCCGCGCTGCCCGGGACGGGCCTCTGCTGCCCCGTCCACCCCGGCTGGGGGTTCCGCTCCCCGGGGTGCCTGCCCGGCTCCTTCCCCCTGCGCCGCCGGCTTATCGGGCCCGCGCCTCGCCCCGTAACAGCGCAGCCCGGCTCTCCCGCTCACCCCGCACCCGCGCCCTTATCGCCGGCACCACCTGGCTGCTTACTGCTTTGTTCTTTACTTTCAGACCAGCCCCCCAACTGCGCCCCACTGCGCCCCACTGCGCCGCCGCGGCCCGAGGCTTTGCCTCTGCTCCCCGCCCTGACCCGCAGCCTGCCCGCCGCCCGGCTCGGCGTGAGCGGCAGAGCCAGCCCAGAGGCGCCTTCCAGGGCCGGGCTGCATACGGGCTGCCAGGAGATAAGGGAACAGCCACAGGGGGGTTAAGTCCACAACAGGACGGCTCTGCTGGTGGGGGGGACAGATGAGCACAGGCACCCCCGTAATGGCAGGTCATCAACCATCCAAGAAGGGGGGCAGGTGGGCAAGGCCTGCCTCCACGTAGGGCTGCCCCCACACGCGCCCATCCTGGACCCCTGGCCTAGGCCGATCCCCTCATTCTCTAGGTGGGGTTGCCCACCCAGGCGCCGGCCTCCCAGGGGATTACCCAGCACCAAGGTAAGGCGGGCCAGTCCCCCGGAGCCCAGAATGAGGGCTTCGAAAACTTGTTCATCCCTGCAAGGAAGCAGCCTCAGGGCCCATCCTTCAACAGCGGCCCATCTGAGTCAGCCTCTGCCTGCCCGGCGCCAGCCGGCCAGTCTCTTCCCTGAGGAGGCCAGCATTGTCCAGGGCTGAGGCGCAGGCCCTGGGTCAAGGTGGCCAGGGCATCGCCCACAACAGGTCTGCAGAAATGCAGACCTCCCAGGCTTCCCTCCCAGGCTTCCCTCCCGGAGCCCCCAGCAAGCGGCCTGGGCCTCTCTGCCTGTCTGTTCTATGCCTCCCTCTAGGGCCCTCGCGACCGGGCTCCTGCCTACTCTTCTACCCCATCTCTCCTTCACTCCCCGCCCGGCTTCCTGGGCTTGCTTTCTGTCCCTTGGACACCCCCAGTGTTTTTCTGCCCCAGGACCTTTGCATGTGTTCCTCCCTCTGTCTAGAATTCTCTTCCACCAGACCCTTCCAGGCTGACACCGTCACTGTTTAATCTGCCCAACCGGCCAGCCCTCTAGAGTATCGCCCCATCTTGTCTGTAAACGTCTTATTCGTTTCTCGGCCTACATGCTCATCTCCCCCAACTCTCAAGAGAGAAGCTGGTCTGTTTTTGCTAGTGAGTGTATCTCCAGCACCTGCAAGAATATCTACCACCTAGGACATACTCAGTGAAGGCTGGAAGTAATAAATTAATGAATTAATTCATTAATGAATCAATCAAGTAACTCACATGGATTCCTTAATAGACTGCATTGAATTCCTGAAGGTCTTCCATGGCCATCAATCAGCTGTGGGCATTGTTTAACTTTTGTTGACGTTTGTAGTTCCTGGGAACTAATCAACTAGGCATCTGGGGTCTGCCCTGGCCCTGAACCCACCCGCCATGCCTGTCCTCCCCCAGAAAGGACTGACTCAACCAATGTGATTTTTATTCATTACCAAGTCTTCAAGGTCCAAATGTACGTGGTGCTTACCCAAGAGAGCCCAAGGCCACGCGGGAGAGGCCTGGGGCCACGCACTGAGGTCACTTGACCGGAGAGGAGGGCAGAGATGAAAGGGTGCTGGGCACATGTGACTAGCTGTGACCTCGAGGTGGGGAGTCACTTCCGATGCAGGGGGTGGGGATGACCTACAAGAGGGGAGAAAGACGTCGTCATGTTCTCAAGAAAGGCCTTGCGGGGATGAAGAATGGCAGAGGCGCAGCGGAGAAGGCGAGGTTGATGATAGAGACTAGCAACACTAGGTCGGGTGCCCTTCCCCCTCGGCTCCCAGCTGAGCCATGAGTCAAAGACAGACGGAGAGGGGGATCGGACCCCTCAACACTGCCAGTGGTGCTGTACAAAGGTGCAGTGCTCTGGACAGTAGCCCCTCAAAAGGCTGAGTCCACAATTCCCCTAAGACCAGCAGTTCCACCACTGGGTGCGCACCGGAGAAATGAGAACTGTGTGTACTTTTAACTTGCACAGCCGTCACGGCATGTTCCCCCGACCCAAGAAGTGGCAAGAACCCCAAGTCCCTCTGCTGGCCAGCAGGGAAATCCAGTGAGGCTCTCAAGCCGGGCACGGTCGTAGGTGTAAAGGGGACGAGGCTCGGCGCCCGCCTGCCCACCACAAACCAACGTGGGGAACAGGATGTTCCACAGAAGGAGCCAGACGTGAAACCGTGTGGCCCCACGTAGAGGGGGTGTCCCAAAGAGGAGATGCTTATAATCAGAAAGTGGGTGCATTTCTGCCTAGGTAGGGGAGGGGCTGGTGAGGAGCGAGGTCTACCGCTCCCCATTTTCATCACCCCCCAAGAAAGCATGCACCATACAAGGAATTTTCATCCTGGGGGGGGGGGGCACAAGTCTTCCGGAGGAAGGGATGAAAACATTTTAAAATTGATGTGGCAGCTCCGTTCTGTGACTATATGTAGGGTAAGGGAAAAATTATCAGGCTTTTCCACCCTCCCGCTATTAGCATTAATAATGGGCCCCAGGGCCTCCCCGGTGGCGCAGCGTTGAGCGCTGGGTTGCGAAGCTACTCGCAGCTTCTGCAGCACCGGTTCGATCCCCGGCCGCCGGGCAAGGGTCCCACATGGTGCGCAGACCTCTCCTGCCGCCCGCTGCTCCCCTTTTTACGGCTTGTCTGGTTGTTTCTGACCCTTTTCTGTGGGTCCCCACTGAAAGATGCTTTAGACTTGTGGCAGGCTTTGGGGCCTTGCTCTGGGCCAATCCCATCTGGATGGAGTTTTACCCACAAGGGGACGCGTAACTTTGGGTGCTTGATCTAGAAACTAGATTCTTTGCCTTTTCTGTATTGTTTCCTAGTTTTATTAAAGTTCCTTCCCATTAAAGTCTCATATGTTTTGTGTTGATGCAGCGGATGGCAGAACCCATTTAGAGCAGGCAGGTTTTGGGGGGGTCTGGGGTGCACCTCTCCCTGCCCTGTAACACCCTCAGCAGTGTATTTCATCAGTCTGCCTGCTCTGCTCCCCGCTCTGGCTCTGGTGAATTCTCTCACCCTCCTGCACTTCTGACTGTACCCAGTGCTTGTATAAATAAATAAATAAATCTTTTTTTAAAAAAATGGACCCCAGCAGGGGCCTCCCTGGTGGCACAATATGTTGAGCACAGCACCGTGAAGCTGTCTGCAGCTTCTGTAGCACAAGTTCGGATCCCAGGCCATCAGGAAGCAACCCACCTGGCGTAGCAGACCTCTCCTGCCTCCCCCTGCTCCCCTCAGCAGTGGATTTCAGTAGATCCGCCTGTTCTGCTCCCCACTCTGTCTCTGGTGAGTCCTCTCACACACACACACACACACACCCGCACCTCTGGCCTGTACCCCAGTTCTTGTATGCATAAATAAATAAATCTTTAAAAATAATAATAATGGACCCCTGCAGTCCTACGTGCAGGCCTGATGGCGGGCACCTGGAGTGGGGTGTGGGCATGCACAGGTGGGCGCGCCTGAGCTGAGACTGTTCTTATGAGGGCAGCGTCACGGGGACGCCAGCAGAAAGAAGAATGAAAAAACTGGAAAAGAAAGAAGAATGAGGAGAAAGAGCAGCAGAGAGAGAACGGGAGAACGAGAGCAGAACCAGCGGAGAAGCAGAGACCACGAGAGACGCCAGAGAGCCCAGAAAGAGTGAAGCGTCCCCTCCAGCCCCGCCCCGCCCCCCTGCCTGCGGGGTACCTGGTAAAAGCGCAATAAAAGCCCAAAAAAGGCAGCGAGGGCTCCAGGACTCTCCTTTAACCATCTGCCCAGGTCACAGAGCGCGGCCCGGCGCCCTTCCTGCGCCTACACTACGCGAACATCCATTCCACCGGATTTTCACTTGAAATCGGTGAACCGTGTGACCCGCTGGAAAACAGCGATGACGGAGCCGGGACGGATGGCGGGGACCAGCCCACGGGACAGGCAAGCCCCGGCCCTGCGTGGTCAGCCTGATCTGGTGCCACGCCACGTGTCCATCACTGCGCAATGAAGAGGTTTAAAAACGATCCCGCTCCGCTGGCGTCCCCCCGACGCCGGAAAAAGCCAAAGTCCTCACCAGGGCCCACAGGCCCCCCGTGCCCCTCTCTGACCACAGGTCCCCCCTCCCTCCGCCCACTGTCCTCCAGCCCCTGGGCGCTCCTTGAGCCTGAAATGCTCCTGACTCAGGGCCTGTGCACTTACTGGACTTACTGGTTCCGCTGCTGGCCTCGCAAACCCCCATGGGCTCCCCTTCCCTTCCTTGCTCCAAGTCCTTGCTCAAAGTCTTTTTTCTCAGCGAGGACTTCCTCCCCATCCCATCCGCCCTTGTTAAGCTGCAGCCACACCCGCAGTGCTCTCTGTCGCCTTCCTTGATTTCCTTCTCTCCTTAGCACGTCTCACCACGCAACACCCGCCATTAGACCCGCCTGCGTGGGTTTGATGCCTCCCTTCCCCCTCCAGGACCCCTGAGAGCTTGAATCTGTCTATTTTGCCCATTGCTGTACCCCCAACTCTTCGCAGTGCCTGGCTCACAGTAGGTCCTTTATCCACACGCACGCGTGAGCAGCAGCTGTGGAGCCCAGCGGTGAAGGACCTGACTCCGCAGCCAGGCTGCACCGCTGGGTGGCCTTGGGCGCGCCGCTTAGCCTCCCTGTGCCCCAGCTTCCCTGGCCCCGACAGCGCCCCCCTCCCGGGGTAATGGTGAGGGTTAAATAAATGAGCTCGTCTCGGTTGCACGCTTAGCCAAGTGTGTGCCCGTGTTCAATGCGGTCGCCGTCCCATGCAGGTCGCCACACGCTGCCCGCCACGCCCCAGCCCTGGCAGAACCCTTCCCCACCCCACCCCCCACGGTGACTCACACGATGAAAAAACAACTCCATTAAGAAGAGGCACCCCTGATTAGGTGCAGGGACTTTTAATCCGCCCTGGGCTCCCGAGCGCAGACGTGAATCACGACACCCTTTGATGAGGAAGAGGAACTAGTGGGAGAAGGAAGACAAGGAGTAAGCGGGTGAGAGTGAGGGAAGACAGACCACAGCAGCCGCCGGCAGGAGGAAGGTCTCTGCTGCCGCGCGGCCGCGCAGGTGGGGCCAGAGCTGGGCGACAGGGCCCTGCTGCCCGGCAGGTCCCCGGGAGGCGCCCCGGCCTCGCCCCCTGACGTCCGAGCTGATGTCCCAGCTCCCAGATGGAAAGTGGGTGCACCCTCACGGGCAGACGCAGCGTGTCAGAGCCCCAGACAATAGCCACGGCCACGCGGGGGCAGGTGGGGGGGGGCGGGGGGGAGCGGCCGGGTCAAGGGCTTCGTGGGTCGGAACAAGCATCTCAGGGCTGGGAAACTGATGGATGACAAGGGAAGTGACGTTGCTCACTCTGTGGGTTAAATAAAACGTAGCATCAAAATTAATTCCACCTGTTTCCGTTTGCTTTTTTTCACTGCTAGCATTTTTAAAAGTCCCTTGACGTTTTTATTATTTTCATTTTAAAAGAGAAAAATAACTTGTTCTCTTCATAGTATAACGTAAGTTTACCCAAATCTTCATTGTCCATTTCCTAATCACTTCATTTGGTCCTCCATCAGCTTCTGTTCTCTTTTCTTTGCCACATGTATTTTTGTCATTTTGTTAATCAAGACTACCACCAGGAGTGCGAAGAGATAGCATTCAAAAATGAAAGGTAACTCTCTCTCTTCCTCTCTCTTGCTATATATCTGTACATATACACAGATCTATACATCTACCATTTCATCTCTTGATCATGATGCACAAGGCAACTAAGGTAATCTTTCAATTATAGTAGGTACACTTGGGTTCTAAAATCTTTCAAAATACAAAAAAAACTTTAAATAACTTAAATAATATCATTTACTTTTTACTTTTTTTTAAGTAGAAATGATTTATTTATTTATTTATTTTAAAAGATTTATTTATTTATTTACACAAGCACTGGGTATAGTCAGAAGCGTGGGAAGGTGAGAGAATTCACCAGAGCCAGAGCGGGGAGCAAAACAGGTAGACGGACGAAATACACTGCAGGTAGCAGGAGAGGTCTGTGTGCCATGTGGGACCCTCGCCTGGTGGCCGGGGATCGAACCAGTGCTGCAGAGGCTGCGGGCAGCTCTGCAGCCCAGCGTTCAACCGCTGCACCACCAGGGGAGGCCCTGCATTTACTTTTTTAAATGGGGCTGTTAAGACGTCTGGAATTGCATCTGGGATGTGTTGGGCAGTGCTGTCTTAGGGGTGATCCACCCTTCACAGGTAAAACAGGAGAACAGGGTGAGGACCACCTGTGGGGAGGGGGCCTGCAAACACAGTGGCAGGGGAAGTCCATTCTGAGAAGATGCTTTTTGAGCAAGACCTAAAGAAAGTGCAGGAAAGAGCCAAGGAGATACCTGAGGACACTGGGGGTGTCCCTCGACCCTGCACTATCCAGGGAAGCGCTGCAGGCAGAGGGAACAAACAGTGCAAAGGCCCTGAGGTAGGTGGGTGCCAGGGAGCTCTTAATCGGGATGGTAATTTCTTATGTAACGCAAGTGATTTCTTAGAAGCTGTTTCTCTTCAGTTGGTGAAATGCCCCCTGCAATATTCCAAACACTAATGGGGTCTCCAGAGTCCCCAGACCTCCCTCTGCACTCATTCGGGATTCTGGTTCCCACATATTCCGACCTCCTGCACCATCACCCTCGACATTCCCGCGGAAGGGCTGGCAGTAGGACACCGCCTTTACCCCTGGTTCTCAGGACTCGACAAGGGCTCTCTGACAAGCCTCCGTGCAGGAAAGTTTTCCAGAACAAAGGTGGAAGTATGTGGGAGGACGTGGCGGGCAGCCCACGGGCCAGCAGCTGGGAGCTCAAGAACTCTGCTCCAGTTCTGCCTACCGGTTTCTGTCCCGGGACCCAGAGGGGTTCATCTGAGGCCACCTTGCCCTGCCCACCCGCCCAAGGAAGGGATGTACACATTCATTCATTCATTCACTCGTTCATTCATGTAGCAAAAAAGACAACTCACCGGCTCGGGGCCAGGCCTGCGGTGAGCTGGGGGCTGAGGTTAGGAAGGGGCCAGCAGGCAGTTCCTTGTGCCTGACCGTCCTTTTCACTGGAAAAGAGAGATTTCAGAACAAACAGAAAACACATAAGCAAATAAATAAGGATTAATTATTTAGATAAATAAAATACATTTCTATATCCTTACATCTTCCTTTTACTCTGAGTACCAAGAAAATACAACAATTTATTTCTAACTAGTCACAGTGATATGTTGTTCAGTCTTATAGACAGAAATATTCATATTTATTTTTGTGTCATCCAGTTATTAATTATAAATGGCAACAGGGTATTTATATATCTGCATTTTATTTGCATTTCATTATGCTTTTAGTGTGTATGAGAAAGATCGACTAAATTAAATATTAATGTAAGCTAAGCAAACGAATAAATAAATAAGGATTTCAGATGCTGCAAACACTAAAGGGAAAAACAGATGAGAGAAAGACACGGAGAAATGAGGGGGCAGAGGGACGAGGCCTGACGGGTGACGGGCGGGGGAGGATATTTCTGGCAAAATAGCCAGTGAGTGCAAAGGTCCCGCAGCAAGGAGATGCCAGGTTGGTTTAAGGAAAAGATGAGTAGAGACCAGGTCAGGAAGAGCCCCTTAGGAACACAAGCACCCCGGCATTTACACCGCATGTCTCGATGTTACCGTTCCTCTCCAGATCTGCACAGTAAACCACAATCACCTTTTTCTTAGGTCATGGAAAAGGATTCTGATTTTCGACCAGGTCTTGTAGCAAAGACCATAATTGCTACTTCTGATTGCATAACTGCTATTTCTGAAGGCCATCCTTGTTAAATGAGACAACACCCACACTTTTTAGAGGTATGTGCTGTAGGATGGAGGAGAGAAACACAATCATGACTGGGATTTACTAAACGAGAAAGAAAACAGATGGATGACGCAACCGTGGGGGGTGGGGGCGTCTAGTAATTGTTGAGTCTGACATATGGGCCCGCGTTTCTGCACTTTCATCTATTTCTGCTCCTGCAAAGCAGACATAATGTGCGCCCTCAAAATGCACATGGACGAGCCTAGCCCCTGGCGTACTGGTCTTTGGAGACAGGGTCTTTGGGAGATGATTAGGTCATGAGAGTGGAGACCCCATGAGTGGGATTAGTGCCTTAAAGGAGGGACCCCAGAGAGCCCCTGAGCCTGGAAACGGCCCCTCCCAGAGACAGAATCCGCCAGGCCTCCAGACCTGTGAGAATAGGGCTAGGGTGTTTGTCGGTCACCTAGTCTATGGTTTCTGTTGCAGTAGAAGCCGCCACTAAGACGATTTTCTTTTTTAAAAAAATCCCTGGCTGCTGCTTCGGTCAGTAATGATGAAATGCAGTTGTGCAGAGGGGCCTGGGTTGAGGTGAAAAACAGAGTTCTAGGAGAGCTTGAAGCAGTGCGATCCATGAGAGGGCAGCCTCCGCTCCCTCAGCAACCGCCGTCTGCTTCTCCGCCCTCCTCTCTTCCCCTAGAAGGAGAGCCTTGGGACCAGGCTGGCAGCCCCCCTTGTCCTGTGGCTTCTAGCTGGATCGGGTCAAGGAGAGGTGGGAGATCCAAGGAAGGTGAGAGGGAGCACGAGCTATTGTTCCCAGCTTCCTCCTGTGACAGATCAAAGAGGGCCACCAGCCCTCGTCTGCGTCTCCTCTTATTGAGAATCTGCTTCTCCTCCCCACCCCAATCCAAACTCACACTGACCCGTTTCGACCTATAGACTGTGGCAGACATGACACTGGGCAACCTCCAGAGAGGACCCCAATAGCCCAGCAGCCTCCACCTGTGTTTCCTAAAACACTCCTAGAACTCGGCCGCCATGTTGGGAGCAGGCCCAAGCACCCTCAGCCAGCCACAGGCACCCCATGGGGGGCTATTTAGGACCTTACAGGTGGCCCAGCCTCCCAGACAGCTCCTCATGAAGCAGACCTGCCTATCAACCCACAACATCATGACAAATACAAAAATGACTGTTCTAAGTCCCTACATTTTAGGGTGGCTTGTACACCATGCCAGAAAACTGCAACTCTTTCCCGGCAAGGCCGCGCCTCTCCTTCCTGGGTCCAGCCTCGCTGTCCTCCTCTCCCCGGCGCCTTTGTAAAGAGCCTCTCTATTAAGCTCTCTTTCCTCTGTGCCCTGCCGGGAGCGGAAGTGAAGCTGCGGAGGAAAGGGATTTACAGGCAGCAGGGCCTGAGCTGAGAAAGCACAGTCCTGGGAAGCAAGTGTGGAGCAGCAACCAGGCTCCCACCCAGCCCCACCAGCGACCCCAGTGAAATGGGGCGCTAGGCCCCTCTTGGGGGGGGTGGCGCCCGTGAGCGCACATCTGTGTAGCCCGCAGCCCCCAGTGTTATTTATATAAAACAGAGATGCCAGCTGGTGAGGAGGCGAGATCAGAGGCTGAAAAGTACTCGGTCCCCGGCACTCCGGGCCCCTGGGGGTGCGCTCAGAGGGCTCTGTGAAGGACTAGGATCAGCTGTCACCCACCAGCCTTGCCCTGAGCTCACCTCTCCCGTTTCGAAAAGCCGTGGCCTCCTCCATGCTTGGGATGCACGAGCCGGAACAAAAACACCCCTGAATCAGCGCTCTGGGCTCTCGTGCATGCCAGGCCAGGCCCCAAGGGCTGGCACCACAGCTGGGCCCGGCCACGTGGGTGCTGTGGCCTCCTTCCCACCACAGCGCTGGGGTCACGCGCATCTGGAGGAGCAGCCACGCCCTGGTGCCGTCGGAACATCTGCAGGCCGCCGCAGGGTGGCGGGAGGCGGGCGGGGGTGCATAAGGGTAAGGGCTGAGAGGTCCAGGGAGCGAGTCCCACAGCACCGATCACAGGGGAACTGCAAACCCAAACCACAGTGAGGTACGGCGGCACGGCCCTGAGGTGGCTGCTGGGGCCGACGAGAAAACAGGAAAGAACAGAAAGTGGAGAAGACACGGGGAAAATGGAGTCCGGGCGCACCGTGGTGGGAAAGGAAAAGGGAGAACAGCAAGGTAGTTCCTCAAAACAATTAAAAATAGAATCACTGCTTGATTCAGCAATTCCACTTCTGGACATCCGCGCAGAAGAATCGAAAGCAAGAATCCGCGTGCCCGGGATCACAGCCTCGCTCTCGGCCGAGGGTAAGGGGCAACCCCGCGCCGCAGAGCCACGCACGCGAAAGACGCGGCCTACCGGGCTGTGGAGCATTACTCAGCTTTGAAAAACAAGGAAACGCTGACACCTGCTATAGCGTGAATAACCCTGGAGGGCAAGGGAGAGAAGCCAGATCAGAGGGACAGATGTTGTAAGGCCCCCCGGGGCCGAACACCCAGGGAGGCGCATCCCAGAGACAGAGTGTGGGAAGTGGGGCTGGGGCGGGGCTGGGAGTAGAATGAGGCCAGTCTCGGGGGACGGGTGGTGCTCCCCTGTGTGGATACCCTTACCGCCACTGCACTGTGTGCTTCAAGTGGTTTGAGGGCCTCTCTGGTGGCACAAGAGATTAAGTGTCAGCACTATGAAGCAGTCCACAGCCACTGCAGCATGAGCTCGATCCCCAGCCAGGGAGCTACCCACAGGGCATAGCAGACCTCTCCCCGCTGCTCCCCTCAGCTGTGCACTTCGGTAGATTCACCTGTTCTGCTCCCCACTCTGTCTCTGGTGAATCCTCTCACCCCCACCCATCTGGCCTTCACCCCAGTTCTTGTATAAATAAATAAATAAATGTTTAAAATGTTGTTGCTAAAATATCCCCCTTAAAAAATCCTTTATTGGCCTAAGTTCTAAACCAGGAATTGGCAAATGACAGCCTACAGGTCAAATCTGGCCCTCAGTCTGGCTTTGTTAATAAAGTTTTATTGGAACACAGTCATGCCTACTCATCACACACTATTTTTTACTTCTTTTGCGCTTCACCAGCAGAGTGGAGTAGTTGTGGCAGAGACCCCAGGGCCCGAAAAGCCTCAAAAACTGTGATTACTGTCCCTTTACAGAAAAATCTTGCCAATTTCTATACTGAGCAATTGGCTTCTGTTGAATTTTAGTCATATGCGTGTCACGTTACACATGTGTATAACTTACTTTCTAGTAGAAGTTGTGTTGTGTGCAGAACGGAATTGGGAGAACTCCCTCCCTGACACACTCGGCACACATGGAGTATTTTCATACGTTTGAATAAACATCTTCAACATGGAAATGTAGTCCTCGCTTTGCTTCAAAACCAAAGCCGGCATCCAGAAAACAATGATCGTTATTGAAAATAATCACCTTTAAAGGAGGTTGTTGAAAGAAATCGTCCACTCGGGGAACATGGCTGACAGAAACAGATGCTGCCTCGGGGAGTTGGGAGGAAAAATTAACCAGTAAACAAGGGTGACCACGGACAGCACCGGCCACAGACATGCGCACACGGGGCCCACCGTCCACAGGAGGGAGGCGCCTTACGCGAAGCCATGTGGTGACGCCGTGTTCCTCTCTGATTGGCTTCCCGCGTGGGCACGTGACCATATTCTGGCCAATGAGACACGGGGCAGGGCGCTGGGGGCTGCTGGGAAATGTCCCAGGCACAAAAAGCGCGCCTCGCCCCGCTGCCCGCGGAGCAGGGCTGGGTGGGCGGCGCCATCTTGCGGAGCGGGGGAATGGACAGAGCCCAGGTCCTCAGGGACGAGCCGGGCCGGCGTGGAGGCCCCTACTGCCTGCCCGCCCCGGGGCTGTCCTGTGTGAAAATCATAAATGTCTTCGGCCGTGTGGGTTGGTGCATTCTAGCATTTTCAGCCAAAAGCATCTCAGTGGAAACAGATGAAACCAGTGGCCAGCGGGCGTGATGAACGCTTTATGGGTTTCCTCATTCAGTGCCTGTTCACTGGGGCCTTTCTGCGGGTCAGGACGGTTCTGGACCCTGGCGAGCACGAGAGGTCCCTTCGGCAGCGAGGGGCACGCCCCAGGCGGAGGCAGACACAAAAGCAAGTGCACAGATGAGCAAACGAAACTCTTTCAGATGATGCTGAATTCTGAGAAAGAACTAGAGGGGCCTCCCTGGTGGCGCAAGGGGTTAAGGCGCAGCACTATGAAGCTGTCCGCAGCCACTGCAGCAGGAGTTCGATCCCCGGCCAGGAAGCTACCCACAGGGCGCAGCAGACTCTCCTGTCTCCCCGCTGCTCCCCTCAGCAGTGGATTTCAGTGGATCCGCCTGTTCTGCTCCCCGCTCTGTCTCTGGGGAATCCTCTCACCTCCCACACCTCTAGTCTGTACTCCAGTTCTTGTGTGCGAAAATGGATAAATCTTAAAAAAAAAAAAAAGGAAGTAGCACATGGTGGTTTGATGGCGAGGGAGAGAGGGTGGGTTCCTCTGGGAAGGTGACATAAGAGCAGAGAACTTAAAGCACCAACCGGGGGGAGACCCAGGGAAAGCATTACTGGGGGTGGGGCTCGGCCGGTGCAAAGGCCCTGGGGTGGGAGTGGATGTGGACTGCCAGGGTGTGGCGTGACTTTGGCAGGGAGTATCTGCATGTGCACAAGGGGCCCCAGTCCGGGTCCCCCGCCTCCCGCCCCTTCTTTCTTTGCTTTTTTTCTTACTTTCTTAGGGCTTTTGTTCCCAGGAGCAGAGTTTCTGAGCTCCAGTTTATTGAAATCTGGCTGTTTTCAGACCTCTCTTCCCAACTGAAGGGAACCACAGACCCTCCCACGCAGGCTCACGGCTTTTTAAAGACAAGCCAAGTTTCTGTGCTTCCTCCTAACGAAGCGGCTCTTTGCAGCAAGTTCCCGTCTGCTTGGCTGTTTCTCCTGCCAGAAAAACATTTTCTGTTCTGCCCGGTAACTGCAGCTCCTGTTCTCACCCCTCCTCTCCAGCTGCTGCCCCCTCGCCTGCCCTCCACCCTAGGCCTGGGGACCCACACAGCACCAAAGCCGGAAGAGCAGGGGCACAGGGGCGCTGGTGAGGCCTGGGGGTACAAAGAAGATGTAGGATAGAAAATGCCTGCCCCTGTTTTGTGGCCCAGGGGTTAAGTCTCAGCACTGTCACCCTTGCAGCCTGAGTTCGATCCCCAGCCAGGGAGCTACCCACAATGCGCAGCAGACCTCTCTTGTCTCCCCGCTGCTCCCCTCAGCGGGGGAGTTCAGTAGATCTACCTGTTGTGCTCCCCTCTCTGTCTCTGGTGAGTCCTCACCACCACACCTCTGGCCTGCACCCCAGCTCTTATGTGCATGAATAAATAAAAATAAATGTTTTAAATAATAATAAAAGTACATTCCCTATAGAGCTGTATCCCCCCTCCAAGCCACGGTGACCCCAACCCGGGTGGAAGCAGGCTGCAAAAATGTCCTCTGGGGTGGCCAAGGGCCACCTGAGGCTGGCTGGGGGTGCTGTTTGTTTCAAGTGTTTACAGAGCGATTCCTTCAGGCCAGGCGGACGCAGGGGGACCGGAGCATTAGCCATGGCCCTGGAGCAGTGGGGACACAGATGTTACCCTCACACCATGAGTCCACAGCGACACCGGAGAGGAATGCTCCCAGGGAAAGGAAGCTGCCTCCGAGAGGGCGGCACAGGGCGCGGGCGCACCTTTTTCAAAGCAAATTGGATCCTGTTACTTCCTCCTTAAAGCCCTGCTGGCTCCTGGTGGCACCAGCTGAAGCCAGACCCATGGGCGTGGGCACCTCAGGCCCTGGCCCACGCTCCCCCTCACTCCCTGAGATGCAGCCTCTCGGGGGTCCGTGCCCACCCCAGGGCCTTGGCATGTACCGTGCTCACTGTTCTTCGAGGTCTCCGATAGGTGAGGCTCGCCTCGCACCTCCCCAGGGAGGGCTTCCCTGGCCGGTCCATCTAAACACCCACCCTCCTCTCTTATTTCCACGGCACCCTGAGGTTGTCCAGCCTGCTTGCGCGCTGGCATGAAAGCAGCACGGGGCACGGCCTTCGCCTGTCCTCACAGCGCCCGCAAGGCCATGACGGCTGCTGGAAAGAGCGTGTGAAGGCTCAAGCGAGTGATTGGAGTCCCGACCCTGCCTGGAGGCCTCACGGAGGCTTCTGAAGAAGGGGCGTCTTGATCAACATCTGCTGGACCAGGAGGAATTGGGTTGTGAACCTCAATCCTGACCAACCGTTAGGACCCCAGACAGGGCAGGGGGCTATACCGCTGGCGTTTGCGCCCCATCCTCGGAGACTCGGCATCTGGGGTCAAGCAGGGGCCCAGGACCGTGACCCCAACACAGACTCGCACTTCCCACCCCCGACCTGCTGATGTGACCCTCCGGTGAGGCAGGGTCGGGTTTCACAGGCCCTGCTGGGATTCTTGCCAAGTGCGTTAGAAACCTGCAGATGAGGAGGGAAGAGAAGAATCTTCCAGAAGCAGATACTTTGAACCAGCCTGGGGTGGGCAGGAAGGCCCTCCACGCTGACCAGCTCCCCACCCCGTCCTGTCCACTTTGTGGGCGGCGCTCCGGAACACCCTCAGACTCTGAGGCCGACCTTGATGTCATTCCCAAGGTCACTGCGCTTCTGAATGGAGGGAGTGCATCAAGTGCAAGTCTCCTTGGGGACGTGGGGGGGCTGTCTCCTCGCTCTCCAGCCCGGCCCCACAGGGAAGCGAGGGGGTCAGGCAGAGAGGAATTTATTTCAGGAACGTGTTTACTGCTCCCAAGATTTCAAGTTCCTGAAATAGGACCCCGAGAAACTCCTTCAGAGGGAACAGAACACCGCGCCGCTCCAGCCCGAGATTTATGTAAGAGCCGGTGTTTACTTCCCCTCGTTCCCCCAGGCTTCCCGCCCCCCAGAACTGGTGTCCCCCTTGTTTATTTCTTTTTTAAACAAAGATTTATTTATTTATGCATACAAGAACTGGGGTGCAGGCCAGAGGTGTGGGGGAGCGGGAGGACTCCCCAGGGACAGAGTGGGGAGCAGAACAGGTGGATCTACTGAAATCCCCCGCTGAGGGGGGCAGTGGGGAGACAGGAGAGTCTGCTGCGCCCTGTGGGCAGCTCCCCGGCCGGGCATGGAACTCGTGCTGCGGCAGCTGGCGAGAGCCGGATGGTGCTGAAAAACCCCGTGCTTGAGTGTTTTTGCCCATCTGTAGTGGGCAAAATGGGGTCCCCCTCGAAAGAGATGTTGAAACCCTAACCTGGGGGCCCGGGAGTGTGGCCTTGGGAGGAAGGGCCGCCTGCGGAGGTGTCGGATCCGCCGGGAGCAGCGGGGCGGCGAGGCCCGGGTCAGCCAGGCCCGCGTCCCGGGAGAGCCGGGACAGACACGGGGAAGCGGCCACCGGACCAGGCACCTGTAAGCCAGGGAGCCCCGGCAACCCCAGGGGCTGAGGGGTGAGGTGGGGCCCTCCCCAAGAGGCCCGACGCCCCAATTTCTGTAACAGGGTGGTCCCCAGGAAAGGGGGAGGTTCCCTGCCCCACCCAAGGGAGGGTGGAGCTGAGCAGGAAGAGGAGAAGCTGCAGAAGAGACTGAGGAAGGAAGCAGGATGGAGCCAGGAGACTTGGAGGAGGCGCATGGAGCCTAGAGACACGTGAAGAAACTGCGCTTGTCTTTTGGTCGTGGACTGGGTGACACAGATGTGGGTGAGACCCGTGGGGAGGTGACCATGGCAGCTTTTATCTTGATGTTGATTTTGCTCTTTTCCTTCCGGGCTTGTCTGGTGGTTTCTGGCCCTTTTCTGTGGGTCCCCACTGGAAGAGGCTTTAGACTTGTGGCAGGCTTTGGGGCCTTGCTCTGGGCCAATCCCATTTGGATGGACTTTTACCCACGAGGGGATGGGTAACTCTGGATGCTTCATTTAGAAACTAGACTCTTTGCCTTACCTGTATTGTTTCCTAGTTTTATTAAAGTTCCTTCCCATTAAAGTCTCCTATGTTTTGTGTTGATGCGGCGGATGGCAGAACCCATTTAGAATAGGCAGGTTTGCGGGGCTTGGGCTGCCCCTCTCCCTGTCCTATAACATTTCCAGCTGTGTTTCAGCAGCACAGGAACCAGCCACGCCTTCGCCGGCTCTCACCCTGGGGCGCGCGCCAGAACCTGCTGGGGGGAGGCTGGGAGCCCACGGACTTGCCCCCCACACTCAGCGGGTGCGGGGGCCTGTGAGCTTGAGCTTCCAGCACGTTCCCTGGAGAAGCCGTTCTGGGGCCACGCGTGGAGAAGCCCCGAGGCGTGGGTGTGGGGACGGCCTCCCCGCCGGCGCGGCGGCCCCCTCAGAGCGCCCCGACGCTCCAGAGGAAAACCCGCTGGGCTCCTCGCGCCCCAAGTCCGGGGCCAGAGACCGGGGCCTCCACCAGCACCGCCGCGGGCGGGGGGGGGGGGGGGGGGGCGCTCTGGCGCGAATCTGCCGTCAGTCAGCCGAGGAGGGACGCCGCGCCCGCCCGCCCGCCGCCCGCCAGGCCCTGGGCCGCCCCCGGGGGAGCCCGCTCGGCCCGGCCCCGCGGTCCAGGCGGAGACGCCGAGGGCGGCGCG